CCAGACGCCATCGAATATCCATCAAACAACTATGCAAAAATGCCCTCCCCCCCCCTTCAAAAATGAAAATAAGATTATAGATCGAATAAAATCAACAAAATTACAGTAAAATAAAATAAGTAAACGTATTTCTCAAAGATACCCTTAAAACATGAGATAAATGTGTGCAGACGACCATTCATTTAGAATTTCATAAACAATCTTCTGATATTGTTGAAATATTTAGAATAAAGTTTTGTAGTTTTAGTCATCCTGAGCTGGGAACTTTAGAATTGGATGCCTTTAATACCAATTGCTTAATCTGAGTACAGTTTGGATTTAGCTTAATCCACTCTTTTTCCTTCTTTTAGTACAGGGTGTCCCAATAAACATAGGAATTGAGAGACGATTTGAAAGTCGTCTTTGATTTCTGATATTTAATGAATGGCAAAGAAATAAACACGAGGCCGAACGCCTTAAGAGCATTTCAAAAATTGGTCTACATAAATATATATATACCTTTCTTGTATCTTAAACATTGACAATGGTATTAAATACAAAGACAATTTTGATTTATTAAATAATATTAAAGTACAAATTTTGCAATATCTCCATCAATTTGGACATTACAAAAAGTAGGCCACATTTTGAAAATCTCTAGACCAGGCGTTTTTGATGTTTTAACTGGAATACTGCAATAATTGTGTATATGAAAAAGTTCCGCATGGATCGAAGACGATATAAAAGTTGTCACTTAGTTTCCATGTTTAATGGGACACCCTGTATATCCCTACTGGATTCCGACCAATGAGAGTTCTTTCTTTAAAAAGGAGATCAACCATTGATCTCGATATCCACAATTCAAAAGTTTTGAGCTCTGTAAGCATCGGAACAAAGGATGAGATTGTAAAGACGACCGGACACTCTTGAAATATAACAATCCCTGGGTTATATTTTATGTATTCTACCTTAGATATAGTAATCTCTTGGATTATTCAATGATTTGACAAAGAAACAAATAAGTTTACAGTTGCTGGGAATCGTGAATACAAGGAAACAGACAGAATAAATTCCGTACAGTCGTCTTTGAAGTCTCAGCCTTTGTGGGTCACCCTGTATGTATTCCATATTAAATGACATGTTACAAACGTTAACAAATTATTTTTGAATTAAATCAAATAAGATTTTTAGGGACGTCCCACACCCGTGACCCACACGCCAAAATTGAAGTTACTGAACTACAGGGTGTCCCAAAAAACGTGGGAATTCAGTGACGAATTCGATATCGTCTTTATGAATAATTCTTTGATTTAGTAAGTGATACCTACTGAGAAAGCTGTAATCTGTAAGAGTTCCGTCCGCTATGTTCACATTTTGTTTGTTTATGTTTTGACTGCAACCGGTTGTACTTAGTAAAACAAGAAAATTACAGTATACAAACAGAGTAAACTTGTCCGTATTCACTGTTCATCTTGCGGAGACATTATAGACACATCTTTGCAGTCTTTTACCCTTTTCATAAAATAAACTCTAGCAGACATGATAATATTATGGCTTTTGAAATTAGGTATTACAATGCTAATTCATAACAAAGACGATATCGAGTTCGTCACTGAATTCCCATGTTTTTTGGGACACCCTGTATATCAATGATGATGTGAGGTCACGTACTATTCGTAAACTTTATTTTTTCCTTGGAAGTTCTAAAAACATTTGTCAATAAAAATTTCAGGTCTTCTTTTTTAAATACATTTATTTTCAGTGCACAATTTTTTATTAGAGAATCGAAATAAATGATCAATTTCGAAATAGAAAAAGAGAGACAGGATTTCTTTTGTGGTTTCAACAAAGTTTATAAGTTATTTTCATTTGATATATCTTACAAGAATGATAATACAGTTATATTTATTTGGTCAAATCATTACAACAAAAAATAAAGAAAACATTTTAATACTGTTTTTACCGTAATCATTATATATACAATTTCAATGCTTGAAAAAATTAGATTTCAAAGCCGACATTTAAATGAAGGTCCGTTTTTATTTGCCAAAATAATTTAGGCCTCAAAAATTGACAAAAAATACATTGATTTAATAAAAAAAAAATTTGAGAAAATCAAGAAAATAAAGTTTATCATGAATTAATGCTCAGGGGCCGAGCAACTAGCATTTTTCACTCAGGACAAAATTTTCTAAACTTCTAAAATTTCAAGTTATATTGATCATATAAATGCTATTGCTGTGAATCAGATAAATGCTTTTGTTGTGAATCAGATAAATGCTATTTAGTTATAATGTTAATAATTATAATAATAATTTTATGTTGATTTTTATTATTTTTCAAGTCCTATGAACTGTGGTTTAAACAGATTATATTTGAGATTGATTCTATCAGGTACAGCTTAGATTTTGTTCACATCTGATATTTTCAAAGAAACTATATAATTAAGGGATTCCTTGAATCAAACTTCATATTCTAGCATATATTTGATAATCGGGTAACCAGTATTACGTTAGCTGTCTCTTTAATACTTCTTTGTTTAGAGGTGTATTTACTCTTGAGTTTGTTGACGAGGCTTGTTTCCTCAATTTTAGATGAAAGTGTAAAGGGCACCGTAGTAAATCGGGCATGGCACTCTATATATAAGAAGGTTAAATGATATTACGCCAAGTGCCTACAGTCCAGGGAAATTTAGACAAAATAAAAAAGATTTATTCAAGTTATATAACAGTTTTTCGTTCTTTACACTAGCTCATTGAAAATAGAAGTTATGATGTAAAACTTATAAGATATCAATCTTCCGTGTTACTTCATTTTGACGAGATTGTTCCTATAATACCTTTTCTCTGTTTAGAAATATATTTACGTCTACATACAGTACAGTCCCTTTAATACTTCTCTTCTTTATTTAGAGGAATATTTACTCTTGAGTTTGTTGACGAGGCAAGGATGCTGGAGGTTAACAAGAGGCTGCAGAGAGTTGTTATGATCATCAAGGTTTTAGTGGATAAGGTAATGCAGAGGGTTGTTATGATCATCAAGGTTCTAATGGATAAGGTAATGCATAGGATTGCTATGATCATCTAGGTTCTAGTGGATAAGGTAATGCATAGGATTGCTATGATCATCTAGGTTCTAGTGGATAAGGTAATGCA